TTACTTTTTGACAATGGAAACAAATTTTATAACCAATTGTGGAAAAAATTATCACTTTAATGGGCAATTTTCATGTAAAACAAAGTCAAACAAACACAAAATTTAAAAATTTTTCGGGTGGAAAATTATACTAATCAAACACACTTAATTAACAATTCCCTGTAAAACAATTTTTAGGCAATTACTTTCCCTATAATTCATTTTCTTTCAACCATTGCAATCAAACGGACCCTAAGTATATATGGACAAATATCTACCATTATTTTTATATATTTCAAAATTCAAACTTTTTATTAGTTACAATTTATTTTGGTTTACATGAAAGAGCCCAAACTAAAAAGATTTTTCTTGCAACTGAATTTTAAGAATTTTGGGGCATTACAGATTTCCTTGTTCTTGGCATAGAAAAAGATCGAAATATTCTAAGAATTTAGGGTCGACCCTTCATAGAAACCGGTCTAACTTTGATTGACATGGAGAAATGTGAGTTAGCTTTGAGGGTGGAGGATCAACAAGAAGTTTTTAAATTACACAATCCATTTAAGCAAGAATCAGATCTCGAGGTGTGCAAATGTATTGATGAAGATAATTTACAAAGTTCTCAGAAGAAAAAACCTAGAGTTTGTAGAATTGTTGATAGAGATGAGAACGGATAGTGCAAGGTTTGAAGAGCAAAAAGAAGATGCAAAGTTTAAAATTGCAAAAGTGCAAGGCCGAAAAAGCCTATTAGGACCACCATGAGTAATCGTTCCGCAAAGTCTAGTTAAAGACTTTAAATTAAAAGCTTATTGAAAGGCAACCCAATTTCTTATCATTTTATTTATTATGCTTTATATATTTGCATTGCATGTGATTTAGACATATTTTATTTCAATTAAAGGGTGTCATTATGCCTATAACAAACCTAATAAATAAATTTCTTTATTTAAGTAAAAAATAGTAAAAGCAGCATGTGTCATGCTTTTTAAAGCCCTAGGGCATAAAAGAAAGATATAAAAAACTGGTTACCATACACACCACATTTTAGCTTTTAAACTGTTTCTTGACTCTTAAATTTATTTTTTTTCTTTTAAAGGTATAGGAATATCAAACGGGAAGTACATACTTCATTTCTTTCCCACCCCTTCATGTTGCTAAACTATACTTTAAGATATTGAGGATAATGCTACTTTAAGTTTGGTAAGGAGAGACAATATTGAGTTTTTAGCTTTACTATTTATTTGTGATTGTTTGCTTATTGCTTTGTTATATATGAGAAAAATATTTTAAAAAATTGCAAAATTTTGAAAAATTAAAAAATATTTTCTTTTTAGTTTGCTTGCTTGTGTGGATTAAATAGTCTTACCGTCAATGATGAATATATTTAAAATTATGTGCTGATTTATGAAATGTGAATAGAATACGTACTTATATTAATTGAATCGTATCTATGTAAAACTTGATACTTTTGGGTACATAAATTAAGTTACAAAGGTAGTAAAATGTGAATACTAAAGATCATGCTCAAATTAGGATTATGCCATTTGTGTACCCATTTTCTAACACGCTTGTTGGCACGTGCCATGTTTTGCAATAAATCATTGGCTGGAAAATTTATTTTTTATTTAAACTATTCAATGAAAGAATATCATGCAGCATTGTGTCAATTAAAATGTAAAAAGAGATGTACATTAAGCATGATTCAATTATGAGAGTCAATTCAATTGTAAAATGACTATGCTAACACAATGATTAATCTTAATAGAACATGCTAAGACTTATCCTATAATAAATTTGTTACACGGTATCTAAATCTCTGTTTGTCTTTCATTTTTTCAAAATTATTTATTTTTTTACATACTAATTTTCAACCACAGATTCACACAATAATATATAATACATATAAACCCAAATTTTTTTCATATTTTTTAACGAAACATTTTCCAAACAATCACTATTTAAAACAATGTTCTTAAAACAATGGCCACCGAACATGGGCTCAAAAAGAGTTTGATCAGTAACACGTTTTTCAGAAAAAAAAATACAAAGTTTATCATGTTGGCGCGCTCACACGTACAGAAAAATATTTTGGTTAAAAAATAAGATCATGGGCTATAACACGATATGTTAGCTTTGGTGACACAATGTGACATGCTACATTTTCAAAAATCAACAGCAAGAAATTGTAAAGATTTAACCAAAGTAATGCTAACAAGAAATTTGATCTTAACATTCATTCACTGTTCAGATTCTAAAGGAATTTTTTTACAAAATAATGTGCAAATTAATTATGTTAACATAGAAGAATACAGTTTCAAATTACAATCTACATGTATAGTAAAAATTAAATGAGGGATACAGGAAGATTTAAATAAATCAAGAACCATATTAAACATAAAGATATATTATGCAAAAAATCAAAAACAATTACGTGGGGTTAGCGGTGATTGGTGCCCTTTTATTCTTTGAAGTCGATGTCAACGCTCTTATCACTCTTTCGATCCTGGATGTAATTTTTTTTTTTTTTTTCAGAGAGCTTGTTGTTCATCGATGACTCCTTTTTCGAGATGGGCCGGGTTGTACGATGGGTGAGCATGTCCATTTCAAAATATTTGTCTGTAAAAATTAGATTTATTGATTCTATGTTCCAAGAACAACATGATGCAACAAAAGAGAGATGATGTTGAATATGCATTTTAGGGATTAGGTTTTGAATAAGATTATTATGGAAGATAAAATGGGAAATGGGGAAGAATCACAAATGAAGACCGTGCCGAAAAGTAGGAGTTTTGAGAAAAATAAGAGTACGTTTGGTTTGCTGTTTTCAATTTTACAAAACACTGAAAATGTGTTTGGCATGCTATTTCTAACAATCCATTTTCGAAAACAAGGATAAACTTATAATATAAAATTCAAAATGCATTTTTTTTTCAAAAATGTGTTTGGTTAATATTTCTAAAAATGTATTTTCGAAGACAATGATAAACTTATAACATAAAATTCAAAACGCATTTAAATACAATTTTGTTTAAAAAATAAAAATTTAAACAAATAAAATTTAAATTTTTTTAAAAAAAATTAAAAATCAACAAAATAAATTCTAAAATAAAAAAATTATAAAAATCTCAAAAAATAAAAATTATAAAATTTCAAAATTTAAATAAAAATAGTTCAAGCATTTAATAACTATTTACATAAAAATTCTAAAACAATATTTAAGGGAACATAGATAAAAATATTTTTAATCCATATCACTAACTTTCATTTTTATCTCAGGTATTATGAACTCAATTTATTATTATTTTTTCCATAGTGAAAAAAATATTGTAAGATTCATAACTTTAAAAAATATATATATTACATGATAATATATTAACATAAAATTATTTTATTTTTACTAAATAACAAATTTTATTGAATAAAATGTCATAAAACATTTTTTATAAAATTTCAAACCAAACGTATTTTCTAATTTTCTATTTTAAGAAATATTTTTCAAAATGACAAATCAAATGCATTTTAGCAATCTTAAAAGTAAAATCTCAAAACTAAAAACTGAAAATGAGTTCAAAATTCAAAACTAAAAATTGGAACAGAAACCAAACGTACCCTAAGATTTTAGGGACAATTTTGGATTCCGATTTCTTGAGTTTACTCTTTTATTTTTACTTTTAAAATGTAAATGATTTTGATATAAAAAAGGTTAAAAAAGTAATTTTGGACTTCGGAATAAAGTAGATTAGCCGGTTTGATTTATACTTTAAAATATGAGCCTACAAACGCATAAAAGAACCGTTCGGGTCTTGTAATATTTTAGAGCAAGTTGCAATCATAGTTAATTCAAATTTAATTAGATTTTAACTTGAGCAATCCTTTTCCAGTTGATACCTAAATTCCTAAAATTTAGGCACAATATTTTGACAAAATCCAAAGAGACAGTGACACGGTCATGCAAGAGATTTTTATGTAAAGAGTTGTAGTATGATCGTAAAAGAGTTCACTTCTACAGAATTGCTAACCATGCAGTCTCCACCATAGTACAACACATCTTAATGTTCACACAGAATGCATTGAAGGCAAAATAAAAAAATGGACAAGGAAAAAAGTATGTACTCCTGGAGTTAAGAAATGAAATCAACACAATAAAATTAACTAAAAGGAGGTAAGTGCAAAAAAATATGTGACAATTTGACAAGTTTTTGTTGAGTATTCACTCTCCTCCAAACTTCGGCAATACGAACCTTATTTAGCAGGAGGAGCTCGATAATATGCAGGAACTGTTGCTGGGAAGAACATCTGCCTTACTCCTTCGGCCTTGATAATTGGGAAGATTATTCCTGATGCACTCTGATTTCGACAAAACTCGAATGAGAAATGCCAATAGTAGGAGGCAAAGTAGAGAAAGATGAGGAAAATAACAGAGGCAAGAAGTATACTTACCGAAATCAATCTAGCGCCAATCCATATACGTCCAGGTGAAGGAAAAGGCAGCATCAAACGGCCAACACCATAAATTGCCACAGCAAAGAAATGACAAACCAAGCTCAGTGGCCTGGGGTTCAACCCTGAGAGCAAAGACACTGGCCCATCTGAGAAAACACCTCCAAGGCTTAAATAATCAAAGCATGCCTGGCGCATTTCATTCCGTGCTTTATCAGGTGAAGCACTGAAGACCTTGTAAAGGGCTCCTGCCAATGTGTTGATAGTGGATGCCACAGGCTGCAAATAAAATATTTGAAGTGAGTTTTCCAAGCTCGTAAGATCGATTTGAAGAGTATGACTTGGTGGACGTGAAGTGAATGACTTTTAGCAAACACTGGGAGACACATCACTAAAGTTGCTACTATGCTAATAGCTGTAAATTCTTTACCAAATAATTAGAAAAAAAAGGTCATCAGAAAGTATGCATATTGTGGTAAACAAAAGTCGTCCCTGTTATGGTGACTCACCTTCCGCAAGGTGTAGAAAGACTCAAGATATTTGCACAGAGTTCTTGAATCATTCAAATCGCGCAGTGGCCTAAGAAGATTGCGTAGTACAACAATATCAGACAATGCTACAGTCATTCCTCCACCTGTCAAGGGGTGGCGCATGTTAAATGCATCCCCCATAAGCAAAGCCCCGGGAGTGGGATGTGGAGCAGCCGGCATGCTTCTGTTTGGCATTGTCCTAATGTTTCCTCTCTCAATTGCAGAAATGAATGCATCAAGCAGTTCGATAGGGACCTAAAACAATCACGTGAAACCTCAGCAAGCAGAAAATCCACAAAACAGATCACTTGTGATCATGTCTACAACACACAAACACAGTACATGCTCAAAAAAATATTTACCTGGGGAGCAACTACGCTTTTCAAATATTTTTCCATTTCTCCGTTTGATACAGAAGGCACCTTTTGACCAGGAACATCAACCAGACATCGGATCTCAGTGCTGCTGATGGGGTAAAACAAGATAGGAGATGGATCTGCCAAAACTACATGCCCGTGGTTTGCAAAAGGAAGATGACAATTCTCCAGCACCAGCCCAACAAAACAAGAAGGCACATCTACCTGAACAAAAGAATATGTCATGGTCAATCACTCTTCTCAAGAAACCAAGAAACTGACTGTTAAAATACTAAAAACAATATTCAATCACTCATCTAATGCCAACGTATAAGCAATGAATAATTCAAGTAGAGCAACTGAAGATCAGAGATACGAAAACTTTGGGTAATGGTTCATTACCTTTGGGTTGCAAAGGGAACGTCGCAAATTGGAAAAGCAGCCATCACATACAATGGTTAGAGGTGCATAAGCTTTCAGGTCTTCAGCAGATTTTGTCTTGTATTGTACACCTCTAATAGTTCCCTTATCTTCGAGCAGAGATGTGACAGTACCTTGCTCCAATTGCACACTGTGAGATAACAAGACAAGTGTTGAAGATCAATTGGCATAGACACACATAAAAAGAAACTATGAAATCTTCTATGAGTATATATAATGCTCTACAATCAGCATCTGGAATAGGCATTGAACCTTTGGGATAAAAAAGAAAAAGAAAGAAGCACGGAAACAACCTAACATGCTATCACGGGAAAGTGGGAAACATAATATTCTAGGGGCTATAGAGGGTGAAGGCATACTTGGGGAGAGATGCAGCTTTTTCACGCATCCTCTGTATGAAGCGTCCATTGTGAAAGCTCCTCCCAGATATGTCAGAGTGAAACTTTTCCAAAGGATAAGAAAGTCGAGTGGATTTCCCGTCCTTGAATAAAGCATATCCAAACACCCTCTGGGAATCAATTTCCTCTACACAATCTGTTGACAAGACAGCAAAGGTGCAACTATGATAAACTCCAGAAGGAATTGCAGATAGTTTAAACATTGATTGCCAATGAAAGATAAATTCCTAGTATGACAAGTACAGGCACTACATCAATTACCTTCCAGCCCTAACTCAATCAGTTTGAGGTATCCACCTGGTTGCAGCAGTTCTCCCACTATTCGATCCGGCTCAGTCAAGTCTCTCTCAATTACTCGCACCCGACGCCCATCCTGTGAAAAACATACATTGCTTTCTAAGTTTAGCCATGTATAAAGCCGAAACAAGTTTCGAAGAAAAAATTAGAAACAAATCATTCAGAATCTTATACTCTATAAGCATGTAATCTGAAAAATAAACATCATCAATCAAAAATTTATTAAAAATTATAGGGAACATAAGAATTAAAAACTACGAACAGATTTTTGTGCTGCCTTGGAACAAGAATCAAATATCATTTTTTAGAATCCAGTCTTGTGATACATACAAACACCTGGCCATACATTATACATTGATTTATACATGTTTCCCAGAAAAATATTCTAAATACTGGATCCATCTATTTTTAATATACTGATGAACGCAAATAAATAAAACCATACAAAGTCAGTTGTATACCTTTCCAAGAGTGTGAGCCAGAGCGGCACCGGCGACGCCAGCACCAACAATGATGATGTCAAAATAGTCTCCCCCTCCATCCTTCGATCTGCTTTCGCCGCCGTCAATGACAGTGGTGGAGGCGGTTTCTTCCTGCAAGCAACTCTTCCGGGTGCCACCAGTTTTTCTGAATATCAAAAACCCATAAAAAATGGCAAACCCAAAAACGGCCGCCAAAACAAAACCCAAAACGTCCCGATCCACCATATTTCACGTCAATGCAGAAAGCCGAAGATTGTTAAATATTACCGGAGCGGCGGGAATACGACGTCGTCGCTCTTGCCCTTTTACTCTCTCTCTCTGTAGAGAGAGAATATATTCTCCCTGTGAAACGGTGCAAAAATGTATGGCTCCGGAGCGAGTGCTTCGCTGGGCACACTTTATTTCTGAAAAAGGTGAAAAATTAACGTGTATGTACCCGCCTGGTAGAGTTTTGAGGGGCAACTGTTCCTTTCCTACCGCCAGGTCCACAACACGAGCCATACATCCCTTTTGACGGCTACACAAATGATCTGCTCGATAAAAGATTAATGTCACGTAAACTCCACCAAAGAACATTATTCAAGATTGAAATTATGTAATTTACTTAATACACATTTCATTTATTAAAGAATTATGTAATTCAATGTGCTAAATAGCATTATTCAACCAAAAGAATTCAAATATGTTGTCACGTTTGGCTGTACTCTCTCACTACTATCTAACTCCAAAGTATTATATGGAATTATAAATTGTTATCTAGTAGCTATAGATAGTTATAGTTAAAAGAAGTTTATCTTCATGAAAGATTATTAGTAATTTTTTAGAAATATTTTAGGAGGAATATTACGAAATTTATGGATAATAATGAACAATATTTTTAATATATACCCCTGTTTGTTTCCATTAAATCATGAAATTTAAAGATGTTTCTCAAATTTATTTTTTACCGTACATTAATGTAATAAAATATTTTGCACGTAAAATTCAAATTTTTTAAATACAAATTCTCCAGGAAAAGTCATTATGTCAAAATTCATTTTCCAAAATTAAAAAAAAAAAAAAAAAAGGGAAAAACTCATTGTAATGGAGAGGGGCTATGATTGAAATTAAAGTTTAACTAAGTAACTTTCAATTTACCTAAAATATTTCCAAAATGGAGACCAAGCCTCCCTTTGTGTTATATTTTATTTTGCAAAAATTATATTTTTTCAAAAGATGAATATTTGATAAGTGGGTATTACTTATGAATACTATAAATATAAATGTGACTAAGCTTCTTTTTTTAGCCTAATTCTTTAATTTTATTTTTTATAAATTCATTTTCAATTACACATTTTTCTAACAAAGTATTTTTACATGTAATTTCAAAAATTTTCCTATGTTTTAATCACATATTTAAAAAAAAAAAAAAATCATTGTTACAAAATTTATTTTTCCTAAAAATTGAGGCTCAAACAAACCCTAATTTAACGTTTGATTTTGAAAAATAAAATTTTAGGGGAAGAAAATGAAATCTAAGGGCCCGTTTAATTGAAAATGGAAAATGGGTGGAAAGAAAATGAATTCCAGGGAATTGAATTGTCTAAAAATTGTTTTATTGAGGATTGTAATTAATTGTGTTTGATTTGTATAATTTTTCACTTGAAAAATGTTGAAAGTTCATGTCTATTTGGCTTTATTTTTCATAAAAATTGTCCTTTAAAGCGATATTTTTTTTTACCATTTGATCTAGCATTTGTTCCTATAATTACAAAAAATTGTAATAATTGTACTTAATAATTGTGAGACTCAGTACTCATCTTTGATTATCTAAATAATTCCTATAAATGATATTTTTAAAATTTTATTTGAAAAATGAAAAAAAATAATAAATGCTTATTGAAAAAGTAAAATGAGAAGTTAAAATAAAGATTTCGTTGGAGTGTGTCAAAAACTTTTAAAAATAAAAAGTTTCATGTGATGCTTAAATGATTTTCACTTTTTCCCTATTGCACGACTTTCAATATCTAGCTTTGCATTTTTATCAAATAATTACATTTTCCTATTCAACTCATCTCACTGGTCGAGATGGTCCTCAATACTGGACTCAAGGCCCTCAACCTACAGTTTGCATCATGTAATTGGAAAAATTTAACAGTTGAATGATAATCTATCGTGTATATTGAAGACGATGTATTTTACAATATTGATAACAATATAATTATACGATGATGTTAAAGTATTAAAATGATTAGATAATATTTATAGTAAAATTTTGAACTCTTTTCATGAATGTATCTAGGGAAAAAAATCTTTAATTTTTATCACAAATGAAGAATGTCCGGTTCCTTAACTGTCTAATAATATTGCAAACATGTCCTTTACCTACCCTAAAATTAAAATATATAAAATGGATGGGATGAGAAAAAATTCAATATTTTAAAAATAAAATAATGGTTGAGTCATCATGTCTCAATGTAGGCAATGTGTGTGTGTGCACGTGCGTGAATATGTGTGTGTATATATATAATATATAATCTTTTGCTACATTAAGTCACGGACCTAGAGAACTCCCCTACCCATGTGGCATGACAAGATAGCTTATTGCGAGTTTATTGCTATATCTCTCGGAAGTGCACTGACGATATCCCTTTAACAAGTTTTGATG